AGAGTGACCGCTGGCCTGTAAATGAGTGAAAACTGCAGAGTTCTGGCCATTAGATGTAGCTCGTCTGTGTTGGGACATTCTTTTRAACAGTGGCTGCTTTGTTTCCCCGATGTATAACTGGTCACAGTCCTCCTGGCACTTAACAGCATATACAACATTGCTCTGTTTGTGCCTTCTTGATAGAGAGGAACGTTGGTTTGAGAGAGGAGTAAAAGAAGCCATTTTTGTGAAGAAAGACCGTTCATCATTAAACAGAGGTGGAGGCCTCCGTTTTCAGTTGTCCTCCTCCGACAGCGCGGCCATTGCCAGTATCACTCCACCCCCTGTTAACAATAAGTGTTAATTGGGTGTCAACGATAGCCATGTGATGTGAGTATCAGCCACATGGAGGCAGGGCTTAAAAGCCTGAATTTTGCCTGAAACTCTCAGACTGAAGAAGTCTCTTGGAGGAGAGACGAAACGTTTCATTAGAGAAGAACCCGTCCAGAAGACCTATACAATTTTTTTTCTTTTTGATCTGTTAAACTGACTGAATAATAAAAGCTTTTTGTGTTTGGGTTAGTGAGATATTTTTCCAAACAGGGTTAACTCCAGTAAAGTTTCACTCAAACATCAAAGTGTTTAACAGGGATGACTCTCAGCTACTACCACACTCAATTATGACTCAGTTTCTATCAAACTGACTTTGAGACATTTTTGTTTTTGAAAGGAAGAACCAACTCCAAAGATTAATCAGCTGAAGATGATAGAGATTATTTTCTAAGAATTACATTAAAATCATCCATAAAATCACAGGATATTTTGCTGACAGACAAACTAAACAGGGATTTACATGATCAGCTGTCTTTCATAAATAAAGATGTATGTGCTGTAAAAACATACRTCGAGACTTGGTGAGAAAAGTTGAAGCACGTACAGCAGTCATTAAACCAGATGGGGGTCAGCTGCAGCTGCGGTGGGCTTTAATGCAATCATTTCTCAACCATATTTTCACTGATTGGATTGGATTGTGAAGACCAGGTTTGCAGAAAGGAGTGTAATAAGAGTAATGGTGATGAAGATGATGGCGATGTTTTAAGCTCTTTGCTTCAGCTTTAAGTGTAAAATGCTGTTCATCAACCAAACACAAAAGTTTTTACATTTGCTACAAAAAAATGTGTATCAGAGCATGTATTGCAACAACTTTAAGCTCAGCAGTGTAAAACTGGTGGAGTTGTAGCTGATTTTGTGTTTTATTATACCACTTTGCTGTGGCAGACATTAACATTTTTTTTTACATTTTATTCTTTTATCAAAACAAAATATATAAATTAAATGAAAGGGAGCAGAGGGAAGATGTTTTTTTTACATCTGCCCCCTTTTTTTTTTACTACAGAAGATTAGGTCCACTTAAAAAAAATAAAAAGAATTCTGACTTTAATCTTAGAATTATGAGAAAAAGTCAGAATTCTGAGTTTAAAGTCAGAATTCTTTTATTTTTTCAGTGGCCCTAATCCTCTTTCATATTTTCCTTTAAAGGAAATAAAAACAAAAATAATAAAACAGATGCTTTACAGACTCAAACTTCAGGAACAAAAAAGCAGCATCAGGTCTGTCATGTGAACAACAGTTTATGTCAATTCAAAACACTCAGTATCATTTTTTTCCAATAAACTAGCTTTTATCATCTTTTTAAACATAAATTTTTCTAGAAGTTTTAATATCATCAAGGTTATTCCATAAACATATTCCTTCAATTATAGCACAGTGTTCCTTAAACTAATTGAATTTTTTTGAAAATATTTATTTCGAGGTTAAATTAACTTTATCCTTTTAACAAAATTTTAATGAATATTTACTCATATTTTAATGAGCATTACACATAATTTGTAAGATACTATAATCTACCAAATTACAAAACTTTAATAATTTTAACTGATGAAATAATATATTTGTTATATGATAATGTTAACATATAGTTTGATATACAGTTAATATACAGTATAATTTATACAATGCCTTACACTTTATTCAACAATGCAATATTTTTTGCTACTTTCCTTCTTAAATAATAAGATCTTCATGTCAGCTCCTTATCTATGACAACAACCAAAAATGTAATTGACTCTATGAATTTTAAAACCATTAATTCAGAATGGGGCTTCTATGTATTCCTTCTATTACTAAATATCGTGTAGTTAATTTTTGTCCAAATTCAATATTTTATTTAGATGAAATCAGGTTTGCCTTTTTCTGATTTCTGTTTGGATGATCAACGTCTGTTAAATATTTTCACCAGAATAGAAAAATGTGGCTGTCATCAGCCAATAACATTTTAAAAGCTTTGACACATTGACCAAATCATTTATATTTAAAACAAACAGCTGTGGTCTAAGTACAGGACCCTGAGGAACTCCACATCTAACATTACATAATTCAGATCTTGCATTATTTACCTGCACCTGATTCAGTTGTAGATATTAATACAAGGATTACATCCTGAAAGTTTCCTTAAAATTTGTTCACTGGTCCATGAGATATTTTGCTATTAATACAAACAAAAACATGAACACAAACGAGAAAAAAAATTGCATTCCTCCATCAACTTCGGCTGCAGGCATTAAATATTCAGCTCATCTAGATGGACTAATAAAGTCCTCTTTGAAGGTTTAACATTTTCTCTAAATAAACTGAAACTATTTCAAAATATTTCCTGCTACCGGTAGTCAAACATGATGCAGACTTTCTGTCKTTGTTGGTCAAAGCTTTTTGAGAATGCAGAAAGAACTCTCATCAAATGTGGTCCTACTAGCAGAAACGTTGAACTGAACACTCGGTCGTCGTGGATTCAAACTTTACACTTAAGCAAATTAAACGAGAGACAAAATACTCCTCCTGCAAAGATCAATTTTAATTAAAATGGAAGACAAAATCAGTTGTAAGAGGTATCGACATTTACAGATGTGATCATGGTGCATGGGTAGTATTATACATTACATCAAAATCTATAGGACTTTACCTGAAACAAGCTTTGGGAACTTTTATCCAGCATCTGATTCTGCATGTCCATCACAGTCGTGGATTGTGTAATTTCCCTTCATGAGATCAATAACGTATCATTCATTCATTCATTCATTCATTCATTCATTCATTCATTCTAGAGATGGGACGTTGGCGAACGATCTGAATCTTTGAACAGCTCTTTACAACAAACGATAGGAGCCGAATCGCGGGCAGTAATGAGCCATTTGTAGTTTTATTTCTCTTATTCCTCATATAATCTTTATTTTTTCATACTTAAATCGCTCCCGCTTTGCTTTTTCACGGAAATAAGGCAGATTTGTGGAGTACAGAAGCTCAAGGTGAAAGGGGGAGGAGGGTATCCGCTTGACAAGCACATGGTTCCACCCACGTGACGAGATGACGTCATTACACATGGCTACATGATGATGTATTTTCCTACGTGATGATGTAATACGTTCAAAATCGAACGGCTTTTTTGAATGGCTCTAYGAAACAAATGGCTCCCCAAGATCCAGATCCTTCAAAGAGCCATTTGTTCCATCTCTAATYCATTCATTCAGTACAATATAGGCGTGACGTCCCCTGCTGCTGCTGGTGCCTATTAACTGTGCTTCTTTGGTACTGGAAGGGGAGGAGCTAAGGTCAGGTGAGGTTACCTGGAGCAGATATAAGGAGCTTGCATTCCTTGTATGGTAGCCTAGCCTAGTCGGACGGTGTTTGGTTCGGCGTCGACGGCGTGTCGTTGCGAGGTCCGGCGGGAGCACGCCTGAGGTGGCAGATGTGTGGAACACTAYGTCATGCAGGTGTCATGGTGGAGGTCCTGTTTGAAGATGATCCAGATTTAAAGCTCGGTGCATGGCGGAGGGCCAGGAGGCGAGGCGCACATGCTAATCTGACAGTTTCATGGCGAACGCCAGTGCGTCTGGGTTGCCTCCCRCAAAAACTCCTCAACCTTTCTCTTCAACAAACGCCTCTAAAGGGCTTCAATGGTGATGAGTGTCGTGTTCTCCCTTACTTTGTTGTGATCTTGTGAGCCAGGCCGTAACATGTGTAATGTGTTTCCATTAYATTATTGCGTTTACAAGGTAGTAACTATAGTCTGAAATGGTTAATTTAGCACTGTAAATGCAATATGTACATGAACAGGTTTGGCTCACTATTTGGCAAGAAAGTGGACAGTTTTGTCTCTTTCTCATCCTTAAGTAATGCATAATAAACACTTATAAATGGTTTATAAAATGTTTACAGATTAATGAAATGATAACACCTATAAACTATTTCTGAGCCTTATTGTAAAGTGGAACTCATTTATTTTATACTAAGTGATTTAACTGCATATATGTCTATGTGAGAGCTAATGGAGAGTTTAACTCAGATTTGTTGCTCTGATTTAAAATCGTTACGCAATTTTTTTTGGAAAACGTCTGAAACGTTAGTTCACATTTCAGAGTAATATTTATGGACATAATCCAACATGAAGACCATGAGCAATAAGGCACAGGTTCTAGTGCAGCTCTGTAAAATGACTTGTTTATGATCACAAACACTGATTACGCTGCACTGCAAAGTATGAATTTTTAAAGTCAGCGCTGCCCGCCTGAAGGCAAACACGAACACAAGTGCTTTGGCAGTTGTTTACAGAGCCTACAGTAATTACAGCAACATTACTGCAAGACTTTACTGGAGCTCTTTCACCGGACATAAAAACACACACATAAGACGGTGTGTGGAGCGAGTGCAGAAAATGCTAAACCGTCTCCTTTGTTTCCAACCCGTGTAGAGAATCGCGCACTCTGAAACTGTCACGGTATGAAAAATTCATAATTGTATTTTCTCCCAATCTGCRGAGCATCAAAGTATCAACGAAACAATCTCACTTTAGGATTTGTTATGAAACCTCGTATCTTTTTMTGTATTTTTATGACTCGGGGCTATGGTGGTAATGTTTTTGTGCTTCCATTCACAATGAAGCGAGCAAAGATTTAAAGGCTGAAAAATAACGTTTATGCAGTCAGATTTTATTTATTTCATTGTGCTTTTTCAGAAATTCAACCCTTGACTCCTTACTTCTAAGAAAGTTTTTTTTTCCCTTTTATTCCTCCACTTTATCAGTTTAGCTGTGCAGTGCTAAAACTGATCTTTTAYACAGATTATAAAAAATGTAGCTCAGGTGTTTTAAAACAGTTCTGGGGAAAGGTTACAAAAAAAATCAATATTTTATCTGTTGCAGAAATGAAGTTTGATTTTGACACACTGACAAGCTAAAACAGGCGTGGGCAGTTTTTGTTTTGTTGTATTTAAAAAAAAGAAACCAACCATACTTTGTACTTAAACCTGCTTAATAGTCTTTTTTTTTACCACTTTTCTTTTATGCAAAAATTTTAAATTTCAATTAGCTGCTACTGGTAATTAAGACAAGAAAATATGCTGTAAATATTTCTATAAATATGTGAAATTGTGATGTAAGTGATAAAGGAAAAT